ACTTGTACCATGATGCAATATCGTTCAAGATTATTATATGGCATTAAACAAGTCTGACGAAAGAGGTTAGGTGAATAAGAAATGCGTATTTAAAGATACATTAGGAACAAACCTTATTGGAATTCTTTTTTAATGTTCTCTTAGTTTAACATATTTTCTTAAAGTGCGCAAAGATGGCTGATAAACCCAACCCTTTCCTCGACGAGGCTAATAAAAATCCCCCTCCTTCCTACGAACCTCGCGGCGCTATTCATGGGCATGGTAGGTGTAATTACATTCGTGTCTTGAAAATTATCTTTCAAGCGTTATCTTTATGCACCAATCGATTCTTTAATTCGAATAGCTATGCTAACGCTAACAGTACTTCGGAACAGGTAATAGCGAAAAGTATAAAGCTTTGACAGGCGAGGAGGAGGCGGACGTTACAGCTGCCGCCGCTGTAAATCCTGGCATCGAAACTTCGGATCCTAAGAAAATGATTTATTCAGGATCGGGAATACTAATAAACAAGAGGCCAAGTCAAAAGAGATTAATATTTAGGTTTTGCACACTTTTGACAAGCTTTGGGGCACTTATGTGCATGGCGGGAGCCCCCTTGGTAGGTAGAGCTTTTTTAATACTGGAAAATTGAAGGGCGGAGTAAAGATTAACGTAGTTAATGCGACTTCTTCAGTATTCAAAAAAATCTTCGCCACCCAGCGGTGCAAACGAGGCCGCTATTGTATTCACCTACATTGTATCCAGTGTATCAACAATTGTGTCATTATTCTTTGTTGTGCTCTATTTTATGCGCCTTCTGAAGGATGCCAACAAAGTGTCAAGATGGATATTGCACGGAATTGATTTGGTGTTGGTGGTGAGTTATGGCTGCTTGATGGTTTACCTTATCAAAGGATTTTCATGCAAACCCGGCACTGAGGATGGATGGTAAGCTTCCGTGCAACTGCAACGCGCCGAATACCTGTTTGTTGCTAATCTTCTAATACTTTTTTTCATAGGTGCGACTTCTATAATTTCAGTATATTCTTTACCGTATTGTGTTTCTTGCTTTACGTAGTTTCGTTCTTCTGGGATCTTGCTGGAACATTTAAAATTGTGAAAAAGTAGATTACCTTTCTGACACCCAGTAAGAATTCGTGGTTCCATGTAATAATAGGATCATCTAATTTTTTTTAATTCTGAAACTACATACAAGTAGACTCGTTCCATGATGTCCTTTGTTTAAATAACAAAAGTTGTATATTTCTCATTACCATTTTTTAATTCTCACAATTAGCGCGGTCACAGTTCTTTCCTTTATAAATATACTATTCTCTTAATTTATTTGAATTGTAATTAATATATTGTACTGTACATCTTTATTGAACCATCAGTGTAATAATTCAATGAGTTAACTGTTAATCGGACATTCGAAGTGACAAACTATACGTAATGGATTTAAATTATAATGTAATTATCCCTTTAAAATTCTTTGGTTAAAACAATAAGTCAAAGTATATACTGTAAATGATTCACTTAACTGCTGTTTTTTTATTAGAAAAGCATTTTTGTTTTGCAGTTTTTGGATTTTCCATTCTATTATTACTATTCAAAAGGATTTCAAATGCAAGGTTTGAAAAATATAAAAATTACCAACACAAAAGATTATCACTAAGAGATTTTAAAAATATGTATAAAGAAATTATAAAATTATTTGAATAATAAGTAAAGTTTTAATGCATAAAACATAAGTTTCAAACAGGTTTGATTATTCTTTGTTTTTAATAAAAATATATGTTAATTTGAAATTATAAATATATTAAAATAACAAACTATATATTAATTTGAAATTATAAATATATTAAAATAACAAATCTATATATTAATTTAAAATTTAAAATTTTTTAAAATATATTTACAATATACAATATATACGTATATATTTAACAAAATATGCTATATATATTATTAAAACAAAAGCAACACATATCTTAAACTTATTATTTAATAAAAATGTATAATACGATTTTATTTAAAATTTCAATATCTTGAAATATTATTGTAAGAGAGCAAATTAAAAATTAAGCTAATTTAAACTTGCAATAAACAAGATATTTTTATAAAATTAAAGAAAATAAAAATAGAATTAAAAAAAATAAAAGAAAATAATTAAAGAAATATCAAAATAAATTAAAAAAAAAAAAATTTACAATTTAATATATTGAAACTTTCAGTTTCTTTCTTAATAGACTTCAAGATTATTGATAAAAATAATTTTAAATTTTACTAATTTAATTTATTCAATATATGTTCTGTTTCAAATATTATTAAATAAATTAATATAAATAATTCAAAATAATTATTTTAATTAAAAAATTTTTTTCATTTCACATTTAATTTTCTCTTTAAGAAACTTTCAAAAAATAAAAAACAAAATATTACAATACTTACAATCTATATAATTATTCAAAAAAACAAATAAGAAAAACAATATTAAATAAAAAAAAACAAGTAAAAATCTTGATCCTCCTAAAATACAATTATATATAAAAAAGTCTACTATCATAATAATCAAGAATCTCATATCGCAATTAACAAATACAATTATCAATAGCAATTAACAAATTGTAGAAGAAGTTTTCATTGCCAATATACAATCAGACAAACTCTTTCAAGATAACTAATAACAATAACAACAGAGCACTAAATACTTAATACAACAGAATCAATAATCAATAAACTCAACTGCTTTCTGAATTAACATTATAAAAACATATTTTAATACAATTAACAAAGCAAAAAATCAATAAAAAGAATATGAAAGCATTATTAACCAAAAATCTCAAATAGCCAGAATTGATAATACAAATAAAGAAATAAAAATTAAAAAAAAAACAATTTCAAATAGAAATAGTTTATTATCTTAAAAGACAAAGACAAAGAAACTAAAAACCTATAAGATAAATCAAAATCAGATTATTATTTGATAGAATAATTTGATATAAACAAAAATACTACAAGATTGACATTGCAACAAAATTAATTAAAGAAAAAATAATATATCAAAAATTAGAATATATTATTCTAATTTTCAATTCTTCTAAAGGACTTTTAACAATATGTAGCAAAGAAAAAAAAATAATATAAAATTTATTATTATATTCACTGACCAGTATATAGTAAATTATACAATAACTATAGAACTTTCAAAAATAGATAATAACAAGTTGACACATATGAAAAACTGGATGTTAAGAAATTAATAAAAAAAACTTCATATTAAGAAATTAATAAAAAAAACTTTATTAAGGGGTAAGACATTCTTTTAAATACAAAACTTGTAGAAGTAAAACAAGTTTTTTTTAAACATAATCAAATACAAAAAATCATAATAAGAACTCAAAATCTATAACAATACACTACAATCACTTTTGAAAATCAAGAATCCAAACTTAAACTAATAAAAAATATTCTGATTAAAGAGAACTCAATAAGGATAAACAATACAGAATGGGTATTCCAACAAATAAAACAAAAACATGAAATAGTAGCAAAACTTATAATCCTTTTTTCAATACATTTATATAGAATATAAAAATTATTTTATATAATACAAAAGGTGTATATGTTATATTTCCAAATCAACAAACAAAAGTTACAAATCCAAACAATTCACAGTAGTCAGTTTTAAAACACAAAAAGACCTGTTAACAACAGTATAAATATAATATCAACAAGAAAAAATCATATTTTCCTTTATCTTGATCTTAACAAAATTATATACAATACCTTTTTACCTAGCTAAAGATTGTCCAACCAAAGAAAAATATATTTAATTGAACAATTACAACCAAAACTAGACATCCAAATTTGAAAACCTTTATAATAAATTTAGATTAAAAAAAACTTTAATGATTTACAATATCAACAAATCTAAATTACTATAAATCCCAAGAGCAGAAATATATATAAGAGCTATCTTATAAATACTTAAGCAAGAAAATAACAATTCATCAATTTTACAGAATATTACTAACATTCTCAAAAAAATTCAACAGAAACAGAACACTATAAGATAACAAATCATATAATTAGATAAATATATTATCAATATGAAATATTATGATAAAAAATACTATAAAACAATAGATAGTAAATAAATACCAGCCTTTTAAAACCTCTCTTCTTATTTCAACTTAATACTGACCAATCTATATTAGAAGACAGTATTAAATACTTGAAACATATCCAAACACAACCCTTTTTCTTAATTAATAGAATATAAAACAAAATAAACCAAATTATAATCACTATAGATTTATTGATTCAGATCACAATAAAAAAAACAATATCTATAAGAAACTTAAACAATATCTATAACAACAATAACAATAAATATTTAAATATAAATAAAACAAATAATTAACAAGACAACAATACTAACAACTCTCTTCAATTATACAATAACTTAAAACAATACTAATATAGTCAAATTTAAAATCCAACCATAGTAACAAAAACACAATTACACTTCAAAC